TTCTCTTTTGTAGGTAGTGTATCAATTACCCCTTGGTTTTTTTTTGGATCGCGGTTCTTTTTCAAGGGTTTTGTTTGAACCGGATGTAATTAGTTTTTAATTTTTAGTTAGGTACTTGTGGGTTATGGGATGATATGGAAGGAGGATCTCTTAACGTCGTTATGCCTTGAATACAGTGGGTACTTTAGTGTGACGCTTAGGCTCAAATTGTTGATTCTTGTTAGAGTGCCTTAAATTGTATGTTCTTAATTTGCTTAAGTACCCCCGACTAGAGTGTTTTGATGATCCAATCTGGAGTGAGTCATGTGCCATGTGTGTGGGAGGATTGTTGTATTCTGTGCACTGCATTTGATGCCTAGAACTTGTCCCATGTGTTTGCAAAGCGAAATAATAGTTTTGTTCAGTCGTGGAAATGATATAGGCATTTCTTTGTTGAGCCAGATATGTATATTTTACCCGCCTAATTGTTATATATCGTAGTTAACCCCTTTAAGCCTGTAATCATATTTCTTTGGCAACCACATTACAAGTCTTACCCATTTATTTGAATTAACCATCTATTTGAACCTTTTAACCTCTCATGAGCATTTGAATTGTTATGAACCTTGTAAAAGTTAAATGTGGGGTGGTTGGTTTGGCTTTTGAGTGGAACTAATGAGATAAGGAGAAATGTGCACTGATTTGAAAAAGTAAGAGACACTTGAAAAAAAAAAGTGAAAAGAAAGGAAAGAATAGTTGCATTGTTGAGAAATATATATAGTGGTTCTTGATGTAAGTGTGCTTAAAGAAGTATGGGGCAATACACATTGATGAAAAGGTGGACTTTGGTTTGACATAAGTAGGGTCTTAAATGTTAAAATGTATGGATTAAAGTGCTTAGGGAGGTGTAGTCACTTTTATATCTAAATGTATCCTACCCGTCCCCCAGCCTACATTACAACCAAATGAAGTCCTACTTGATCCTAGACTGAATGAGCTCGATTAGTGGAGTAATACACTACGGGCAAGCCTATGGTGCATTTTATGTGGCATATGAATGTTCTTTCTACGAGTGAGTGAATTCTTTCTATCTTGAGTTCCTAATTTTTCTTAACTTTTATTGTGTGTGGAACTACTCTGGTTTGTTATGTGAGGGCACTTGATTCATGAAGGAAAGGTGAGTCTTAACCTCTACGTAAGAGTAAGTGAGTAAGTTAGGAATATTGTGTGGCATGTGAGAGGCAACTCTTGAGGCGAAGATGTTACACTACTGGGCTCAATCTTTGTGAAATGTTCTTTGTGTGACGAGTTAGGGAAGTCGGCCAGTGAAGTTAAGCCTCTGTAAAGTGTGGTTGATTGCTCGGGGACGAGTAATAGCTTAAGTGTGGAGTGTTGATAGTAGGCGAGAATTATGTAGTTTAACGACCATTGACGCTTTAAATTAGCTGCACTTTGTTGATAATTAAATGTTAAATGATAACAAATTGCTCTAATCAAGAACTTTATGCTTTGTAGGAGCAATCCCGGGCTATGAGGAATTAAGGAGTATTTTGGAGTTAATATGGAGCAATGAAGGGCAATTGGAGGTGAGCACGCAAAAGAAGAAGGAAAAAATGAAAGGCAGAACTAAACTTCAGGTGCGCGGGCCATCCGCGGCCGCGCATAGGCCGCGCTCGTCAAGCAAAAAGAGAGTCAATATGCACGGTTCATCCGCGGCTGCGCACGGCTCTCCGAAGATTTTATTTCAGGGGCAAATTTGTAATTCCAGAGGCGACCCTCCTTGAATTATAAGAAGCCCAGCTCGCCCAAAAAGAGGGTATCGAGGTTTTTGAAGGGATTTTGAAGGCAAGAACAGGCAAGAAGAAAGGCGGAAGATTCGGCATAGAGTTTTTACCTTTCTTCCTCTTGTTTCTATAATTGATGATGAATTCTATTATTATGATTGTGAAAACGATTATACATAGCTAAACTCCTAATCTAGGGTTTTGATGGAACCTTTTGGAGTATGAATTTCTTGCTATGTTAATATTGATTTGCCATAGTATTTTCTCTATTTGTTCAACTATATTGTGATTGTTGCTGATTGAAGGGCCCTCAATCGACTGTGTCTATCTAGTATGTATTACTCGGGAGAGAGTGCATATTTAGGTAGTTGTTGAACAACACCACTCGTAACGTATATGAGGGATCAATACGAAGGGTGTAAAGGTGGGATTAGGGATAACGAAACATTGGGTGCGATCTAGCTATAATTAAGGCTAGCTAGCGTAGTTCGGGAGAACATGTCTAATATATTGTTGTAATTACTCGGGAGAGAGTTACGATAGTCAGAGTGCTCATGATCGATAGAGAACACTTAGGCAAATTTATAGCAAACATAGCGGAAAGGATTCCGACAAGAGGGAAATCAAAACATTAGATCATTCCAATTCTTGTTTACAACCCCTCCATAGTTAGCTCTTAATTATTGCATTGTTATTACGTAATATTTAGTTAGTAAACATCCAATCTATTACTTAAATATCTTCGAAGATTGAATACGTGAATTTGTGTACGTCCAATAGCTGTGATTTATAAGTTAATTCCCTGTGGGATTCGACTCCGGACTTGTTAACCGGAATATATTTACACCGACCGTTTTGTCCTTTCTATAAGGCATAATTGAGCGTGATCAGTAAGTATGATTAATGGCTAGAGGTTCGTAAGTTGGAACTTTTTTGGGACATTTCTGTAAGATTCTTATAATACTTCCTAGTCTCCCACATTGAATAGAATTCTTAAATTTTGCCCGTACCCACGCAATTTAAGTCAGAAACAAAATTAAAAAAATTATGTAATCCTGAGCACAGAACACCTAATTATAGGCTACTCATCTGCCTTACACCATAAAATGCAATCAAAACCAATCTATCTACACAGATGATCATACTCCTGCAATACTTTTCAACCAGATAGAATCGCCTCTGTCAGAATCTTACTGGCTGCTTGTCTCAAGCACAAAGATAATATACACTCTTGGAATGCAAAAAATTGCTCCTTTACAATTTGTATGTAAAGGCAACAAACAATTGTTACTAGTACATAATACACCATCCTTCCATAAATGGTTTCTTCTTTGTCCCAAAAATCATCAGAAACAAGCACTACACTTTCTTAGGAATAACAGAACATCCTCCAAGTATGAAAAGATTGTACAATAGCAATCTGGTGGTTGACAGCATAATAGAAGGACAATCGGTTTCTTGGTGATTTCAGATGCAACTCAATTCTGGAGAACAAGATGTGTACCATCTCTGTGACTGAAAAATATTAGTAGTCAAACTATCAAAACCACTTACGACTTGAAAGCTCTCAGTTGGGATTTTTCTTCCAACAAGAGAAGGAGACCTTGGCAGATGATCTGAGAAGTGAAGTCACATGTGAGAGTCGCTTGCTTAGCCAGGCATTAAGGGCACGTTTGATTACATGTACAAGCAAAAATAATCATGGTATAACAATCGGTATAATTTTATACAACGTTGAGTGTGCAGTATAATCCTGCATTACTAGTTAATCTCCGTATAACTTTACATGACGTTTGATTTCAAGTCAAGTATTAAACTCCGCCTAAATTATGTGGATTTTAATATCAGTAACCAAACATTGGATAACTAATATGGGTATAAATTATATGGGAATCTATGTATTATTTTATCTGCGATAGAAGGTGAGATAAGAATTATGTGTATTAGCAATACGTGGATTAGACCATATAAAGACAAGAATGCCCTTACAATAACAATACATGCACAATTTATTCATAACAATCTCGGTACTATTTATTCCCATATAATAATCCCTGTATTATTTATTCTACATAACAATCCCCGTATTATTTATTCTCCGTGTGACAATCCATGCATTTCAATCCCTCTATAACTAAACAATCAACCAAATGATTCTTAAGAGTGCCTCAACTTATGCAGAGGAAGAGATTAGTTTACCAGTACATCCCTGAATAGGGAGCTGAGGATTCTAACCCTAGTGACCAATCCTTAAACCTGCCTCCTCAGCATGTTACTACAGAGTTTACCCTGCTCAGTCTCTTTAAAAAAATGTGGAATGCTCACCACTTCCAAGTCAATGCAATGTTTTCTAAATCTAGTATACCAACTGCACCACTATTTACTGCAAAACCTTGTGCTACAGTGGTGTCATGGTATGCAGAAAATTGTACAGATCCTAAAATTCCTCTTTTAGAGGAATATGGCTAGCCAAACATCGCGCCAAAATCCTCTTTTTCTTCCTGAATAACTAATATTTTTCTTTAATCATGTCACTCCAGAGAGCTCCATTCTCATGACTAAACTCTAGAGCATTTGAATAAGAAACTTAGCATAGTCATAGTTCTCTCACCTAGTTTATCCTCCTCGTCTGCAATCACTTTTTCAACAAAGTTTTTTGCTGCGCTTTTTGACATAACTCTGACTAGGCAATACTAGAAGAGAATAATCCTCCTTTTTTTATTTTTCTTGATCAGTTAGAAAGAATAATCCGGCTTTCTCATACTCCTCATCAACCACTGCGACTTTTGAAGCTCATCAATTTATCATGAAAAATGCAAAATAAGGAGATTTCAACCCTTGAACCTCATTATGAAACACATTATTGTAGATGCACCATATCTCTCCATTTGCTCAATTATAATTTCCGAGGAGAGATACGAAGCATCCTTTGACGTGCATTTTCTGAATAGTTAGCTCGCGTAAGAGCAAGCCATTTAGGTGCATGTCTTACCCGATATGCACATAAGCAAAAGAAGCATTTAAAGTCAATGTAATGCACTTTAATTTGCCTCCATTCTAATTGAACTACTAAAGCAAGATAAATTCATCGTGGATCTTCTAAAACTGAAAAAATATTATGCCTATTCAAGGTAAAGATACCAATTTTAGGTGTACTATTATGGATGTCTTTTCAGGGAACATCCTATAAAATGAGTACTATCATGGAGCAATAACTGAAGCTAGGCCACCTGGATATACTATTCAAACTAACTTAACTTTTCATTAAGGAAATGATAGTTTTTACAGTACATACACAAATTGGAGAAGCTACAAGAAAGCTCTAAATCACTATCCAGCTTCGACGGAACTTATTACATATAGAGATGCATAATCCATATCGATTACACATCTTCACATGATTTCCTAACTACTATGAGACCACATACATGCCTGCGTAAAATTAAAACAAAATTTCTACAAACTATAAAGTAAATGCTGCATCTTGAAAAACCCACTGACCTTAGGCAATTTCAACCTTGAACAACACAAACAACATGAGGAACCTTCTCATTGTCAAAGGGCAAGTAGACATACTCACTAGCAAACTCCTCCGCAATATCCAACGGTAACTCCCCGTGCAATGCCTTGCAATACATATACAACACCACGCTCGCAGCAAGGCTCTGAAGCATTAGCAGAGTTGCAAAACCTGAGCTCACCACCATCTGCAGTATCACCCCGAAGCTCGTCCACCCTCCGCTCGCAGCCCCTACAGTCACCAAAAAACTAGAACACCCACCCACTAACAATCCAATCAGAACCCCGAAAAACAACAACACTGATAGCGCAACCCGTCTCATCCCCTTCACCAAATACGCGCTTCTCCTTAACGGTTCGTAACCCCATTTCGATTCCACCACTACAATCACATAAGCCAATGACCAGTTAACCTGCAACCATATAAAAACTAATACAAGCGCTACCCCTAATAAAACAACCAAACCCGTAAAGTAATTCGACTCATAATTCACTTCAAACCCTAGAAATTGCACGCAGTGGACCACGATCGCCCCGAATAGGGCGAATAATAGAACGATGACAGCGTGGATTACACGCGAAACGATAAGGGTAGCAACTAAGGGCAAGAAGGAGTAAAGAACGGACTGCATAGAGGAAACAAGCTTGACGGGTCTACCGTAAAATCCATGGAACGTGCTGTATGTGATCGTAGCAACAGCAAAGATTGCCAGAAGAACAGCGAATAGGGTGTAAGCAAAGAGAACGAGGAAGAGCTGGGGGTCGGGTCGGGTTAGGTTTCGGGTCGGATCAAACGGGTTAGGGAGGGTTAAGAAGGAGGAGGAGAGGTGAGCTTGCGGGTGGAAGATGATGGAATTGGACTGAGAGAGGGCGGTTTGGAGGGTAGGGTAAACGATGAGGGAGAAAGAGAGAGGTAAGAGGAAGGAAACAGAAAGGGCTAAGAAATGGCGGGAGTGAGCATTGATTATGCGCTTTGATTGGGAAAGTACTCCCCACAGGTTAAGGGTATGTGGATAAGCGGACATTGAATAAGAATGGTGATGATTGATGATCGAGAGATGAATCCAGAAGGAAACCAGACGGAGGATAAGAGAGTGTTTTGGGATGGTTTCTAAATTGGGAGAGAAATGCAATTTGGGGTCTTTTCTTTTTTCCGCTTTCTCTTTAGCTTTGCTGCTTTGCAGATAATTATTAGGGAGAGAAGAGGGAGACAAGTGGCATTCTTAATACATAGATTTGATTGAAATTTAAAAATAAAAATAAAAAAGAGAGAATTTTTAAAATTGTGTTGAATAATAATTTTTAAAATAAAATTGTATCTAGACAAAAAAAATTCATCCGCAAAATTTGAATAACTTTTGGTCAAAATTTTATGAATAAATAATATTTTTAATTTTTTTAGCAAAAAGTAAATAAAAAAAATTATATAAAAAAGGGAGCTTAGTGATGATAGGCTATAATTACGTATTTTAATCGCTTATTACACTCAAATTTACTGCACTTTAATTGAGTTTGAGCTTTAATCGCTAGTGTCTTGCACTAATTGTGTGTTGTATGCCTTGTAGGGGTGATTCCGAGCTATGTAGATATTATGGAATGAATTCAAGTGATTTGGAGCTTTGAAGTCGGAGTAAAAGCCCAAGGAATTAAGCCGGGATTGTATTCGGGAATCAACGGATAATAGAGCAACAAAACGAAGAATCGAGTAGGCATATTGTGCACTATTTAGTAAAATGCATATAACTTTTAGCTCAGAACTCCATTTGGGCTCCAAAATATGTAATTGGAAAGCTAACTCAAAGGGCTACAACTTTCATGTTTTACGTTTTTCCAAATTCCAAACATAACAGGGTAAAAAACTCGATCGAAACCGCGACCGCGGACCTGATGCGGACTAAGGCAGTGGGAAAGTACCGCGCCCGAACCGCGGCCGCGAACGTCCAGGCCTGGAAACTTGTCCTTTTTCGCGTAGAAGAAGGTATAATTGTTTTTTCCCCACCCTACTTGGTATATATACATGGAAAAACGGTATTTTGAGGGGAGGAGACCAATTTTTGACACAAATTCGACCTAAGGAGGCAGAGACACAATAGGAGCAAGGCGGGGAATTCTTCTACGAGTTTTTCCTTCCTCTTCCTATTTTTCATCGTTGGTTATGACTTTTAGTATTGTAGTTTTACATACTATTATGAATAGCTAATTTGTTATCTAGGGTTTTGATGGAACCTTGTGTAGGATAAATTCTTGTTATGTTTTTATATAATTGAGCCGTAGTATTTTCTCTATTTGTTCAACTATATTATTCTTGTGGTTGATTGAAGGGCCCTCAATTAGCTGTGCCTATTTAGTATGTATTACTCGGGAGAGAGTGCATATTTAGGTAGTTGTTGAACAACATTACTCCCGATGTATGTGAGGAATCAATAACCAAGGGTTTAAAGGTGGGATTGGGGATAACGAAACCTTGGGTGCGATCTAAGTGAGCTGTAATTAAAGTCAACTAGCGTAAATTGGGAGAGTATGTCTAGTAAATTGTCGTAATTACTCGGAAGAGAATTACAACACGCAGAGCGTTCATGATCGATAGAGAATACTTAGACGAAATTATAGAAGACATAGCGGGAAGGATTTCGACAATTGAAAAAATCATAACTCTAGACCTCCTCAATCTTTTCTCCAACTTGTAGTATCTTTAGTGTTAATTTATTATTTTAATTAGTTAGTTAGTTAGTTAAACACAAGAATCTTAATATCTATAAGTTAGGAATTGTTCAAGCTTGTATTCTTGGTGATAGTGAACAACTGTAGCTAAGCCTTAGTTATCTGTGGGATTCGACTCCGGACTTGTAAACCGGATTATATTTGCAGCGACCGCTTAGACTTTTTTGTAAGGCATAGTTGGGCGTGATCACTTAGTGTCACGTCCTTAGTATTTAACTAAGTACACGTGCGACACTTGAAAACCCGCTGACGATCTTGCACAACTTGCTCACGTTCTTGCTATGCTAAGTCAGCTTTACCATACTTAAGATCGCTAAGGGAATGTTAGAACACAAGAGGATTTCCAAATGAAGCTTTTTTATTCTAGAGAACTTGATTGTTTTTTTGGTAATTTTACAAATAAATGGCCCCTTTATATACTAGTCTCATGGGGGCTAGTGTGTAAATATTAATTATTACACAAAGCCCTTATTATTTATAAGTCCCTTCTCTAGAATTTTCTACATAGCTAGAGTCTTCTAAGGACTTTTCTAGCAATTTTATAGGGTTCTAAAGTCTTCCATGAGAATTCTCCATATTTATCTAGAACCTTCCCACATGTGCTAGTCTATTTGATATGTAATTTTTCCATATCGCAAAAATATATGCCAAATGACGCCTACGTGGCATGATGATATGGCGAGCCCTGACACTCTCTCCCACCCAATTTTGTGCCACCCTCGACATAAAGCATCAACACGTACGAGCGCACCTCGCCCTGGCGTCGCCGAAGTTATTTGTCCATTAGCCACGAATGTCCTATGAAGCGGTTTGTCTTCCCATGTCACGAGGTACTAGTCAAATTTCTTCTTGCCCTGTTTGTACTTTGGACGACTAGCAACGATGGCCTCGATCCTCCACTCATCGTATGCCTCTCCTTGCTCTTGGCCTGAATCTCCCCATGACTCGACCAAGTCTAGCATCTTCTCAAGCATCGGGTCTATGCTTCCACTCTCTTGGCTTCCCTCCGTGGTCCCAGCCTTATTGGCAAACTTGACCCATTTTGCTTGGTGCATCATCTAAGTTTGATAGTGTGCCATCACTTTATAACTCGCCATCCACTTTAACTATGTCCGCCAAACTTTTGTTGCCACCATGCGCTATTTGTATGGCGCCAAGATAGGCTCTGGAATCCCCTACGTTCGGCTTGGATTCCAAGCACATCCCTCCAATGCAGGCGGTTTCTCCTGTGTCACCCTTATGTGCCTGAGCAAAGTTTTCGATCATTGCTGCAAGCTTTCCAAACTCTGGGCATTCACTTGACCGATGTGATTCTTTACAGAAGTAGCGCCCTCTCTTAGGCACGTGCTTGCTACCATTTTTCGGTCCCTTGTCGTTTCTCTTGGACCCATGTCCGTTATGGGATGGCCCCTTGTCATTGTCCTTGTATATCTCGGCTATGCCTTTCCTGTTGTCCTTGTCATGNACTTGGCTACTGCTATGGCTTCTTCCACGTTGGCTACTTGATGTCTTCTTAACTCCGTCTTTGCCCAAATTTGCAACACATCCATGAAGTAGAAGAGAGAATCTTCCTTGGACAACGACGAGATTTGTAGCATTAAGGTAGTGAACTCACACTCATTATCCCGAATTGTGGTCGTATGTCGGAGCTCCCTTAGCTTCCGCCTAGCCTCTTACACCACATTCATCGGGTAGAATTGCTTCTTCAACTCCTTCTTGAAGTGCTCCCATGTCTCAATCTTGCATAGTCCCTTCTCCATGTCAGCATACTTTCGACGCCACTATAACGCGGCAACCTCGGTCAAATACATTGAGGTGTTGTGCACCTTAACAATTTCGCATCCTCCTTGACTACCTCAAAGTACTTGTCCATCCTCCAAAATAAGTTTGCCACCCCGCGTGTGTCCCGTATCCCGCATACTACTTTCTCTTAGGGACCTTCACATTGGTTCCTTTTGCAAGTACCATGCCGTTGGTAATTCCGACCATGGTTCCCTACAAAGCTTTCTTCTAGCAATATCTCTTTTATTCGTTCTTACATTCCTTTAGTCATAACCTTTGCTCTAATATCATGTTATCACGTCCTTAGTATTTAACTAAGTACACGTGCGTCACTTGACAACTCGCTCACGATCTTGCACAACTTGCTCACGTTCTTGCTATGCCAAGTCAATCTTATCACGCTCAAGATCGCTAAGGGGATGTTAGAACACAAGAGAATTGCCAAATGAAGCTTTTTTATTCTAGAGAACTTGATTGTTTTTTTTGGTGATTTTACAAATGAATGGCCCCTTCATATACTAGTTTCGTTGGGGCTTGTATGTAAATATTAATTATTACACAATTCCCTTATTATTTATAAGTAAGTCCCTTCTCTAGAATTTTCTATACAGCTATAGCCTTCTAAGGACTTTCCTAGCAATTTTATACGGTTCTAAGGTCTTCCACGAGTTCTCCATGTTTCTCAAGAACCTTCTCATATGTGCTAGTCTATTTCATATATGATCTTTCCATATGACAAAAATATATGTCAATGACACCTACTGTCATGAACCAATTCCCGAACCTAGTCGTGATGGCGCCTCTCATGAAGACAAGGTCAACCATTCAACCAATTCATCTTTTTAAGACAATTAATTAACACAATTATAGTATAAACATGGTTTAATAATATCCAATAGCGGAAAGTATAGATAATATACGGAAATCCAACCCAACTCAGCCTTAACCGAGGTGTCACAAGTCATGAGCTACTACAGAGTTTACTAAAATTCTACAAAGTATGGAATTAGGAACAAAGTCTGAAGATATCATAAATAACAGAAGATAAGGGAGAAAACGGGTCTGCGAACGCCATGCAGCTACCTCGATAACTCCGATGAAAACTGAACAGCAGAAAACTCGCTCTATGCCTCAGGAATACATGTACCTGCACACATGGTGCAGGGAGTAATGTGAGTACTCCGACCCAGTGATTAATAAATATAAATAATGACTGAAAGTAAGAAAACACGTTAAGCACACAACATTCTATACAGAAGCAGTGAAATCATTTAAAATAACAATTCAGTGAAATATCATGTGAAATTTCTTTTAAACCAGTAAAACAGGTAATTTGGCAGTAAAATGACAATTAGAAATCTGCCCCTCGGGCTCAGTATCAAAATAATAATTAGAAATCTGCCCCTCGGGCTCAGTATCAAAATAATAAGTAGAAATCTGCCCCTCGG